TCCCAAACGACCGATTAGTGATGATGGAGCATCTATGAATAATCTATATCACCATGTATGTCTTAATGTAGCCCTAAAACGTCTTCCACATTCTTCTTCAACAACCAACTCCTAGCGTTGTGGAAGCTAGGGCCTTGGTACACCAGGCCTATGTTGTCACTGCATCTAACATAGGCTGAAGTTACAAGTTAGGGCATTAGGGACGGCTGAATCATACATCTACTGGGCTACAGAGATATCTGCTCTCTTTATTGCCTTCTCTTCAGCCAACACCTTTTTTGATTGTTGGCTGGCATTTAGGGTTGTCTTAGGTGGGAAATAATCTCTTTCCAACCTTGCTTCCGAGGCTACTGGTTGTACTTGTAGTAGGTGCTTTGCTCCCCCTCTCCTCCTAAACTATCTAGTGGGTGGGACTTCCCTTCTTCATCTATATCAAAGGTGTCCATGTAGTGTAAGGGTTCGTGTTCTCATCGGCAATCCCTTACCATTTTTGCTTCTCAATGTCATGACTTCTAATGTTTTTGTGCATCTTGTGTTTGACATGTGCCAGAAGTTCAGGACATCAGTTCATGTTCCGACCCTTGTTTGCCAAATTCTCTTTAACCTGGTTAGGCCCCCGCCCTTTATTAGTATTGTTATTATTATTATTGTTACTATTATTAGTTATTATTTTTTGTACAATATTTACATACATTTTCAAAGTGAATAAAAACCGAAAGTGGCCAAATCTCTGGAGCAATTTTCATAAATCAGAATTCTCCATAGTTCTATCGAAGTAATAAACAACCCAGAACAAAATAATAAAAATAAATGCAAACAAAAGCCCAAGAAAAACCAAATATCGATATATTAAAAAAATTACAAAGTCCACCAAATGGGCAAGACACGTGCAACAGTAACTCTAGAAAACCTACATATTGAATGCGGAAAAAAGCCCAGTGCAACTATTTGAAAATATAATTAATTATTTGTAAATCCCCTAAACGTGCTAATTTTTTATTTTCTTTTTGTTCCCCCCACCCCTCCCAAAAAAAAAGAAAACTCTAGAGCAATCAGAGTAAGAGATAAATCTAAGAGACTTGCTTGGAGGTTGAAATAATGTGGAATGACTAGCTAGAATCCCTTTGGAAAGTCATCAGAATATAGCCCCAAACTAGAGTTTTCATGGGTATGTGTGGGTGTGGGTGTGGGTGTGGGTGTGGGTGGGTGGGTGTGTGGGGGTGGGTTCGTGCACTTGTGAGTGTGCATGTGCGTGTGTGTGTTTAGAGAGAAAAAGTTGATAAACTTGCTCTCTTCTGTCTCTCTAAAGTCTACTTTTTAAACCCATATATATATATATATATATATATATATAAAGGGCTGTCACTTGGTGTGACCGTAAAAAGCTCGGGTTGTTAGCGCAAGAGTACGGGTTCGAGTCCTGCAAGCGGCCACTTTGTGCATAAAAAGCCAAAGGTTGGGACCGTTTCCAGCTCAACCCGCCAGGACCCTATGTAGGCGGGACCCGCACCGGGTCAC